ATCCTCCCTTCTTCGGCCAGCACGATGCGCGACAGATGGCGAATGGGAACATCATCATGTAGGCTCGGTGTTGGTGCAGACGAATATATGCTGTTGTCACAGGTATGACAACGGGCGTCGGTGGGACATTGGCGGAATGAGACCCTCACGAGTGCTCGAGTTGAAGTTGGACCCTAGAGAAGATGACCGCCACACGAGTGTGGTCCTTCACTCACCCATCCAAGTGATCCGCACGTACAGAGAGCGAAAGGGACAAAACAGAACGGCCCCTGTGTTATGTCGGTAGCCTGAGCAGCATGTGCTGCGGTGGCATCCAAATTGTCGACAACGGCAAGTGAGACGCACACGAGGATCAGGGTCCATCTGCCAGGTCACGTGGGCGGATCATTTCTCAGGGGCAGGCCCCAAACCGTGCTAATAGGATGGGGCAATGGAGGGCCTTTCTTCACCGAAGTGACGCATGAGGATCGCCCCCGCATAGTTCGCGAATTCGAAGGCCTTGCTGCGTCAGCCATTGCTGCACCACTGGGAAAGGCCTGTGCAAATCGTTGCCGCCAAAGAAGCCGCCCCCTGCATGATGCGTGTGCATAGAATGCATGTTTGGTGCTGTTGTTTGCTCGTATCCACCTGAAAGCACGGCCCCCAGTGGGTAGTCCTTAGGCTGCTCGGGCTCCACCGACGAATGCAGCATCATAACAATCTGAATCACCTTCTCCTTGACCGTCATCCGACTCACCAGGTCCTCGATCGCCGCCTCCATCGGCGCATCCTTGCTGACCTTCGACACTGCTTGGACATCGTGGGCAGGCTTCCCCCCGACGTCCTCAGCCTCGTCGCGGGTGACGGTCGGGTTGCGGTCGATTGTAGCGTGCAGCGGGCAGTTGTCTTCCGAGTTGGTGACTAGATAGGACATCATCCAGTCCTCGAGGGTTACGTTGGTCACTGACGCGTTGGAAAGGAATGGGATGCTCAGGTCGCTGCACGTCAGGGGCGACTGCGGGGACGTATGTGATATCACACGCAAACTCCAGGCAGAGAGAGAGAGAGAGAGAGAGGGCCGGGGCAGTGTGTAGATACGTGATGGCCCTGCCCCTGCGGCTGTGCTCGCGCCTGGTCTCACCCTGGATAAGAACTGGCGGGCCGTTTCCTGGCCTTGTTGGCGGCCAACAGATCCAGTGAATTCGTGGCAGTCTCGTTTTTTGCTTGGGCTGATTCCCACAGATTGAAGGCCGTCGTGTTTCTTCCTTGGCCTTGGCGAGGGCGCCATGGAATAAAAGACCGTTTGGTGTCTTTCCGCCACCGCTCCAGCCCGTCATGCCCCACGTCGTCACAGCTCCATCCCGTCCAGTCCACAGTTGTCCTCGCTGCGAGAACCTACCGGGATGCCGCTTGCGGACGCCTTGCCGTCCCAGGATTGCCACTGTTGTTCCCATTTGCACGTGCCGGGGTACGTGCCGGGCAGACAGCACCCTTCCCTTGCTCGACTGCCGCGAGGAGCTCGTGCTGTACATCGGCAAAACGTCGCGCCAGGCAACCCGCGATGCCTCCCGGATACTCAAGGCACCCATTACCGACAACTGCCCGTCGCCCTCACACGCACTACTGCGGCGACGCTGGCAGAAAGGCATTGTCAGCAAAATCGACTTCACTTTCGATGACGTTGGCGACAGCGGATGCGTCGGACCCTCGGAACAGGGTTCCCGTCGTCAGTGAGTCCGACCGTCGCCAGAACACTTGGGTCGATACCCTGCAGCCAGCAGCGCATTGAATAGAGACAGCTCGGCTCCAGAAGTCCACACTCTGCGCTGGCGGCTTACCGCGTCCTCTGTGTCCCCATCGGGTGATGTGATGAGGGAAAACATAGAATGCTCTGTCTGGCAGTCTTGAAGAGTGCGCGGTGTCCCTGAACGTCGGGCGGGACGAGTCGATGTGGGCTTTTAAGGCGAAGCTGCAGCACAAAGAGGGCATCCCCTCCAATACTTAAGTGGCCGTCATGGTTTCGAAGCAAGCACCGATGTGTCGGGAGCTGTCGATGCTAACAGGTATGGATGAAATGGCGCCAGGCCTGTCGAAGCCTGGGATGGTAAAGAGCATGCTCAAGCTGGTGGGCGAGGTGACGAACGCCTTTGAAAACATGGCAGTGCTCATCAATATCCTGCTGGCCAGGGCTTGTGTTGCCAGGGTTTGCTTGTATTACAAGCAGACGAGACAGCAACACAATCCTTCCACTGCATACACACGTCTGAATCATGTGTATGTACGTTCGTGTGCACTCTGGCGATAGAGACACGTGGCGAAACAGGCACACGTTGACCTGTCGTCCGCACACGTCAGGCAAACACTCATGTATGAGTCAATAAGGCGCAAACAAGCACGCGAATACGAAAGAGTGGGAAGGAAATGGGGGGAGGAAGACACAGCGCTGATTGGCATGGTTCCATTCACTTACTGCGAGCAAACGCTGTGTGGACAAGGCAAGGCATGGGTGCGATCGGTCAATCTCTCTCAAGCTAGCTCGCTTTCTGAAGAAGAAACACTGGCTACTGTTACTGCCCTCCGTTAGAACGCAGAAGGCGCTACTCACACCCCACACGGATATCATCACACACCTGCCCCATTCACTATCTTCCTTGTGCTTGTCGGGCCCCCTGATCTCCAATTGGCCTTCCTTACCACCATCAACACATCAGACGAGCCAATACGTGACGCCTCGGGTACCGGGATGGACATTTTCCTGCTTATCTCTCCATCAATCAAGTCAGCCATGACCACTCCCCCATAAGTAAGATCGCCGCCTGTCTTGGGGTTCCAATACTGGATGGAGTACGTAGTCTTCCCGACAACAGTGAGTTCTACTGTTGTCGTATTGGTAAAAGTGTAGACGAGGTAGATGTCGCCCTCTTTGGCGAAGACGAAGTCGTCTTTTTGCTCCGTCAGGTGATTACTGCCAGTCATTCCCCAGAAGGGGATGCGATTGTCCTTCATGAATCGCCAGGCAAGATTTACCTGCGTGAACATTGTGTCACGGCTTCGAAAGTCTTCACAGGTCATGTCCGAGCACGTCGAGTATGGGACGTCCTCCCTATCGCCATTGCCAATCGTCGGGCCTTTCTCGCCCGTTTGATGCCTGCGAAAACCCCAACCAAAATAGAACTCGACGCCGGACCCTCCAGCCATCAGTGTGCCCCACAACACGTTGGTTCTGATGAAGTCATGATTGGGGTCATTCAAATCGATGTCCACGCCTGAGTAAGGAAAGCAGGCTGGATTCGGGTGGATTCGGGAAGCGAAGAAACGGTCATGGTACCAAGCCAGCTCAGCCCTTGCTCGTCATTCGACACAACAAAGGGGTTTGCGCTTCCGGCTGATTTGGCGATCCACTCTGCTACCTCGGCGTTGATCTGCTCAGGGAACTTGCACTGAAGAGACGCCCCTGTTCTGAAATGAGCCACAACGCAGCCAATGAGGAAATCCAGACAACATACAGAGCTTCATCCGTTTTACACTTTGCTGGTATCGCTGCGAATCAGCGCGGGGTAGACCTTTTCCTTCCAATCAGGGTAGGTGTGTACATCTATCGGGTGGTCGTACGGGTCAACACTTCTGATAGAGTCAGCCGCTGCGAGCAGTAACGACGTCGGCATCTTAGTCTCTTCACCTAAATTCCACACGAGTTGGGGATGGTGGCCAAAGCGAGCAACTAACTCCCGGTAATAGACCGCCCTCCGCACAGTAAAGTGCTTCTTGCCGTGGATAAATTCGTTCTCTGTCTCTTGCGTCTTCACGTGCAATCCAATACCCTTCTGCGTCGCGTGCTCGAATGCGATCTCCCATTGGTCGGTCTTGCTCACATCGATTCGAAAGGAGGACTCGCTAGTGTAAGGGAATACATTGCCGTCGTCGCCTGTATTTTTCCATCACCGAGTGCCAACAACGACACCATGTGCACATGAGATCATGCCCGTCTGTGCGCGATGTGACCTTGCACGTTGTATGTGAGGAAGACATCATGTTGAGACCTTTGGAAGCTAAATAGTTGATGGCGCCAATCAGCCCCTTTCCCTTCCCATTGGCCCAAGTGGGGTTGCCCTGAATCTAATTGGAGAAGCCATCTGGCACCAACGTGGATTTCTTACGTTCCTCCAATCTTTCGTGTGGTTCTTATATTGCTTCCGCAAGTCTACACAAGCAACAGCACGTCTATCTGTACTGTCTCGAGCTGATGTGCCGTTGAACCAGCCCGACCAAGATGGTTGGGAGTGTTATCAAAATCGTCGTAGGCAAGCAGGTTCTCCGGCGAGTCGGTGCCTATCTTCAAAAAATATTCTTCGCTTCCCTGGGAGCAGCACAAGTAGACAAGGCAACACGTGGTTTCACGTGCTGCGTGCAGTCTCCCTTCCTCCCTTCCTCCCTTTCCCAGTTTGCATTCATACTTACCGCCAACCAGAGATACCTCTTGCCCACGTATTGGAGGAGTCCCTTGACCCGCCCATCCCTGCCCGTCTTGTCAGAGGGCTTCACCAGAAATTCGCCCTCATAGCCGTCCATGTAGCCTGCAGACTTCCCCGGCAACGTCGGGTCCAATATGATATTCTTTCCTCTGCGAAATGCCACACTATAGCGCCACCGCCCGACATGGGGAGGTGTGAAATGGCAGCGCCATTTGTTGCCTCCTGTGGCCCCGGTGTTGGCTGCACTGCCGTCTGCGGCAAAATAGCCAGGTACTGTGTAAGTCCGATCGCCGCTTGCCCCAATGTGGGTGAGGTTGACAGTGAGGCGGTAATATGAAAAAGGGCTGGGCATAGCTGCCTCCTTTGTCGCTGGGCCCGAGAAGGTGAACGTCAGCTTGTGCCATTGCTTCTGCAGCATGTGACGCAACAGTCAATAAGCTGTGCTGTTGATTGACTGTGTCCTCAACCTGACCATTTCGCCAGTGGCTTTGAGAGTGGTGACGGAAGTGAGCGTCTGCGACTTGACCAGAAAGGGCAAGAGGCACAGCAAAAGCGCTAGGAGGGTGTAGCATCTTTCGGCGTTCGTCCTGTCAATACACATATCGCGAAGATGTATGATCGGTGTACGACGCCTGATGCTGTATCGGCAATACACAACGAATTCGAGTGGAAACATTGCCGTTTTTTAATACAGGACCGCGTAAGTGGGTCACCGCATGAGCGGGTCAGTTGCGTATGTGGGTCAGCCCATCCCGATCGCTCCGTACACAGTCAAAAACGGACCGGACAACCGGGTCACCTCCCAAAGAGACTCAAATCAGCCATCCAAACCGACCATTCATGGCTCAAAATGACCGCAAGACGATGAAGAACCTCTCTGTGAAAGAGCGGACCGATGAAAGTGTGATCCCATCGAGAAATACAGACATTTTGATTGTCTATCTTCTGAGACGAATCATTCTGATGGTGATTCGCGACGAAAAGGCGAGTTTGCTTGGCGAGGTTGAGTCACGATGTAAACGGAAGAGCGGCTGCTTCACGTCGAGGCACGAAGACCCATTTGTGACAAACAAGAGAGGGTGGTCAACAGAGTCACCTGAGGCGTCTGGCGTCATTCATCCAGCCGAACACACGTTTGTGCAGCCATGATGTGTTCGGCATGTTCCTCCTCAGTCATTCCATGCATGATGCATCACTTCGCCCTCCGCCCTCCCACCCACCTCATCCGCCCACCCGCTCATCGTGAGAGCGATTTGATGGCCATTTCGACTGATGCATTCACTGCTGCAGGCGGCGGGGCGGCATGATTTATGTGATTTGCTTCCTGTTATGCTTGCTGTTCATGCCTTTCGTGCCATCATGGGCCCATTAGACACCGTTGATGACGCCAAGTGCATGTGTTGACGACGAATCTTCTTACAAAATCACTCAGGCTGCATCACTTTGCGTGGCGTGTGTGGAGATCAACGATGAATCAAACATTCGGAGACATCCAAGGGCTCTCGCAGCCATCCAAGGACTGATTAAATGAATGAGAGGACAGACCGGTTTTTCGTCGTTTTGAGTGACTTTGAGCAAGAGAAAAAGAGTCAATGGGCTTCTGAGAGGCTCCTGTGATTCATTCACAGCAAGATATCACTCCAAAAGTCGCTGGAAAACAAGTGGGTCAGCTCTGCAGTACGTATAAGCGGGTCAAACGCGTAAGTGGGTCAACCCTGTACTGACCCACTTACGCGGTCCGGACTGTATGCACTCTTGATATCACTGAGTGGACGTGTTGCTCATCGGTAAGATATGCACTCTTGGTGTCACTGAGTGGACGTTCTCATGGCATGCGCTTCCCCGCTGAGTGAACCTCTAAAGGAGGCACGCACTCTTCGTTAGTGAGTCTGCATTTGCAAATCAGCCCCTTCACCGGAGTGCTTTAGAGTCAGATGTGCCCTCCCTTAATAAGCGACGTCTTGGCCTCAGTGGGTGAGTATCCCGAGGGAGACACGTCCTTGGTAAGTGAGTTTCAAACCCGTTGTGTCCCTCCCTTCCGAAAGGGCCCTTGTGATCCGTAGAAGTTAGTGAAAGAGTTTTCCTAAGGCGACTGTGTTGCTGTCGAGGCACAATTGTGCCCGCAATGAGAAAAAAGATATGCCAAGAGGGGGGAACCTGCCTTATCGCTGAAGGGGCCCCACCCAGTGAGTGCAGTCTCACGGGTAACTGTGTCTCATTGATGAGGCCACCTATTTTGCTCTGCGTGTCCCTTTGGGCATTCTCCCTTCTCTACCCCTCTGGTTCTCGGGCATTCTGAGTGAGTCTCCATTTTGTTGCCGCTTTCTTTCTCGCGGTGTCTGTGTCCGATGTGCTATGAGTAATACCACAAAGCTCGAGGATACTGGATGAAGTGTTACTGGTGAGTGAGAGTGGGTGTTTGATTGGGTGTGAAGGTTTCTGTTACTGAAGGCTCAAGCTATCTCTGTTCGCACACACGGGGGACTGCTCTTATCAACGACTGACTGTCTGTCGCACGGACGGGCACAACAAACGAATGAACGAACGATCGGACGACGAACAACGAACGAACGCACGGACACACACTCCTCACACACGATGCACACACCTAGCTCTTGCTCAGAACAACTGGTCTGAATCTGCCTGTCCTGACGATGGGAATCAACACAGGGAGGTCGAAACGATGAAAAACGAATGAAACAACTGCTGCACACTGGATGTCGGCAATTGGCGATGAGGTCCAAGGGGTGATTCTCTAGGGTTCCTGGGGTTTGTCGTAGGGGTGCTTCCGAAGCTGCCCTCGTATGAGGATTGCGAGAGGCGGGGTGCTTTGAAGCACCCCGCAGTATGAATGATTGTTTGTAGGGCACCTTCTTCGAAATTAGGGGTGCTTCCGTTCTGTCCCATCGTGAAACCAAAAGGAAGGGCACATCGAGGACACGGGAAGACGTACGCTTCCCTCCCTTTTCTAGCGAAGTGTTTCTCTATGAGGATCGAATCAATCAGTCACAATTCTCATCAATGGATTCAGATACAGTAAGTATCGCATAAAGCAATCAGTACAGGGGTGATAGTGGAAACTGTCATTAACCGTAACACTCGTCTGTGTGTCCGTGATACTCATACAAATACAGTCCCATCAGCACGCAGACTCAAACAGGCTCAAGGGGAGGAGGGATCAATCCCCGCCCCATCAGCACACCCCAGTCCCGCAAACCCTCCCCTCCC